ATGGAAAGGTAAGTGTCTTAAGATTTTTCTTATCCTTGGTTTTACAACGTCTGTTCATTTTAGTGCAGGTTGTACCACCCGGACTTGCTGTGTGTACAGGTCAACGAAGATGGAAGAGCCACAATTTCGTGTGGTGCCGCCTGCATCAAACAACACCAACGAGACCAACGATCCGTGCTGGCCCATCACAGGTCTCCCCAGGGGAGGCGAGGAGGCTGTGCCCAGGACAGGGGTGCAGCTGGCGGGTCCCTGCCGGTCTCCCATGGATTGTGGACCGCTGTGTCTGACTGTGTGGCCCGGGAAAGGGTGCAGGAATTCCCACTTGGCCGGCCCTCCCCTACACGTGAAGGACACGTGCAAACAGGTGTTTACAACTGTCCTGTGGGTTCCTGGGGGTCCCCCTCACCTGCATCCTTACCGGAGGGGCATATTTCACCCCAAAGTCCCCAGGCATCCGGCTCTCGCCTGCTTTCCCCTCACCTGCAGGAGGGCCCAGCGCCAGGACTCACCCACCCCCCCCCCGCGTGAAGACCCGCGGGAAACACGCAGCGTTCACACCGCCGAGTTCCGGGGCGCACCGTCCCAGCACGGCCACCTCGGCTGTGACTTGCCTGCCAGCAGCTGGCACGGCGACCTCGCCCGCAGGTAGTCCAGCGGGAGCCAGGCGCTGGTCGCGGTGCGTCCCGGCTCCAGGGGTCGCCCGCTGGGCTCCCTGCGCGGGGGGGCCCCCATGCACGCCCTCCCCACTGGGCTCCTCCTACCGAGAAACCCCCCTCACACACCCCCTCAACTCCATGCTTCAGGCCTGCACACCCGGGATGCAGCACGGAGGCTGAGCGTGCTCCGGCCAGCCCTGCACGGCCTACCTCCGCAGCTCCTCCTCAGGGTCTCTCCCGGCGTCGCCCCCACCCAGTGGGGCGGGGCTTACAGGGAGGAGGGTCCGAGTGGGCGGGGCTTACAGGGAGGCGGGTCCGAGTGGGCGGGGCTTACAGGGAGGAGGGACCGAGTGGGGCGGGGCTTACAGGGAGGAGCAACTCGGAGCCGCTCTGCCCAGCCTAGGGCGGAATTGGTGCTTTAGCTGAAAACGACAACAACACATGCACACAACTTACGTAAATCATGTTAGCAGCCAGTCAGAACTAAAATGGTTTAAACACACTGTCTGTGTTTTTGAAGAGTCTTACCATAAGACCACACGAAAGATAAGCACACTTTTCAGTGTGTTTCTTTGAAGAGGAAGTATCTTTCCAGATTTTCTGTGAATGAATTTCTTTTCTGACTACACTGAAGGAAGGTCAAACTTTACAGATGCAATTGTTATACTTAACACTGTATTAAATAGAGGTTAGCAAAGGCAGTGGCCTAATAAATGTCTTTCCAGTCCCTTTGGTTTAGAGAATTATTTATGAGATTTGTCCTTGACACAACTTAAGCCAGAATGGAAAAAGATTAGAAAATACTGAAGTATAAATACTGAAGCCTGAAGTATAAAGTGCGCACTAAAAGAACATGAAAGTGCCAGTTACGGCTATAAAAATGCCAGTGATAGAAATGTCCCATTAAACATCCACTCGTCAGAGAAAAAACACAAAAAATGTGTTCATTACGACCGGCACACTTATGGCACACGTGGTCGCCGAGAGCCTGCTGGGCCACAGCAGGGCCCCGGGCAGGCCACCAGCAGGACAGAAGGTGACGTGATGTCTTCGCTCCTGAGGTGCCTGCCAACCAGAAGGGGCGGCAAACACACATGCACGCTCACGCACACTCACACACACACACACACACACCTCACAGACACCAATATAATAATTCAGTCTGGTGTTTCTCCAACTGTAACCTGCTCCAGAATTAGCTGGAGGCTCCGCCCTGATGTCTGGGGACAGTCCCAGCGCCTCCGGGGTTCCGAGGCAGCAACCCCGGGGCACAGCTGGAGAGGGCCTGTGTGTCCCTGCGACCGTCCGGCCCGTCCCAGAGCCTGTCGTGCTAAACCCTCGGGGAAACCCCGAGTAAGCGAGCGGAGGAGGAGGGTCCAGCTCCACGCGGAAGGGAACAGGCCGCAGGCCACAGGAAGCCCAGCCCCAGCGCGGTGGGCGGCTCCTCTGGGCTCTTCAGGGGGCCGGCTCCCTCGGGGGACCTCTGGGGGCGCCAGGGACAACCGTGTGCAGAGCTGCAGTTCTGGGCCCCCCCGGGGACCGAGGACAGGAGCCCTGGCTGTGTGCCCCACGGCACAGTGAGGCCACGTCCCTCCCATTCCCTGGTCGCAGGGGACCCCGGGCCAGGCCCGATTCTGCTGAATGAAGTCATTGTCCCCTCCGAGAGACACACGGCTCCGCGGAGCCCACCCCGGCGGCGGCGGCATTCCTCTGGCGGGGTGGGGTGGGGGGAGAACAGCTCCTCTATTCCTGCCTCCCTGTGGAATGCGCCGCTCGCTGCGGGTCCCACGGTGGGAAGCAGGAGAACCGCAGCGGCGCGGGTGGGGCACAGAGCAGTTGGTTGTTACTGGCTCCTTCCTGTCCTCCGCCGGCCGCCGCCCCAGCTCCCCACCGACCGGGGCCTGGGGGCCTGGGGTCCTGGGGGCCTGCGCCCCCTCCGTGTTCTTCCTGAAGGTGTGCAGTCGCACCCCACTCCCACAAAGCGCCGAACACAAGTGAACTTTTATAGTGAAACACACAAGTGTGTTTAAAAGCTAAATCAGAAGTTCAGATGCCAATGACATATTCGACATGTAAAAGTGTCCCGAGACTATCACGAGCTCTGGACAGAGAGGATCGGCCGGGAAGGCAGGTCGGTGTGGACGAAGCCGGAGTCGGGGGGTGGGGGGAGGAGGGCTCATCGCGGGCAAGCTGTGACGGGGGTGGGGGCAGGGCTGAGGTCCCCAGCCCCATCTCAGAGACCTCCGTGCAGGGGCGGAGCACCGGGCTCTCGGCCAGCGGAGGGAGGGAGGAGGAGGACAGGCAGGACAGGGTGGGCAGGACAGGAGACCCGCATTTCTGGGGGGGACTGCTCGGAGGGGACCCGCTCGCAGCCCCCCTCCTTGGGGCAGAGCTCTCAGAAGGGCAAGGACGCTGGGCTGCTTTGGCCAGCAGTGTGCCCTGGTCTGCGGTCAGCAGCACGGAGCCTTGACCGAGTCACTTGGCCTCTCGTGTCCCCTCCATAAACTGACATTCTTGGTGAAACAACCCCCAAGATGTCTTCTGGCTCAACGGTGTGGCTCCAGGAAGTCCTCCTGACCCAGGAGAGAAAGGGTGGGCAAGAGTGGACACAGGAAGGGGGAGAGGTCCTCAGGAGGGAAGTCGAAGGGTCCGTGGGGACCAGGAGGAGGAGCAAGCCACAGTTCTGAAGTGGCCTTTCAAAGGACACAGGCCAGCCGGCACCCCGTGGCAGGGAGAGATGCACTAGCCTCTCCAAGCCTCTGGGGAGGACCAGCCGCAGAGGAGAAACCGGCGTCCAGGAAACTCACACAGTGCGACGTGAGGAAGCCCCTCTCCTGGGAATGAGTCCACGCTGACTGCAAGGCCTCCGCCCTCCCGAGGGACACCCCCCCGCCCCCACTCACCCAGCTCTCTCTGGAGTGACCCCGCAAGCCCGGACTCAGCCTGGTGGCGTTTCACTGGAGGCTTGAGTCTGACTCGCAACCTGCAACTACATCTATCTGGGGAAATGCACGTTTTATATATGTATTTATATGGATACAGACACAGGTTTCTAGGTGCAGTTTATATGTTTACATATATGCACAGGCATTTATTTGCCTGCACACGTGTGTGTACATGCGTGCTCTCCAGCCCAGCTGGAGTGGGGGTGTGATGAACTTGGATGGGGCAGACGGCTCTTCCAGGGCCTCAGAAGTGTGTCTGGCTGCGCAGCTGTCAGAGGGCGGGACAGCCCCGCCCTGCGCTCCTGGGGCCCCGAGCCAGCCAACGGCAGCGCAGCCCCCGAGTCCAGCGCTACTTACTTCCCCCACTCAAGCCACTGACCTCGCTTTGACATTGAATCTGCCTGGTATCCCCAAGCCTTCTCTATATTTAAGCCACGTGGCCACATACGCTTCATAGAAGTTGGATTAGTTAGACCCAAACCCAGTGTCTAAAGTGGAAGAGGCACGGGAGACATTCCACTTCCTTTAGTGGCCGTAAAGGGGCCGTGTTTAGAAACAGACACCATGGGATTAAACAAAAAAAAGACAAAAAAATCTCTTTGACTTCCTGTAGCCAAGAAATGGGGTAGTTGCTGTCTGCCTAAGAGAAGAAATGATTAAATACAGGGAAAAATCGACTTTCAGCAATACCCTGTGGCCAGTTCCCACTCTGTTCGTGTAATGTGGGAAAGGGGATTCTAATGCGACGGGTCAGGTTAGTTCCCACAATTCCAAAATCCTGCTCTGATAATCACCAAAGTGGCTACACTTACTTTATAACTAGGAATTCACGTGGACAACAACAGGGTGGTGCTGGCTGGGGGGAGCGGGTATACGGGGACTACATGGTAACGGGGAAAAAAATAAAGATTAAAAATACAATAAAGCCCTGGCTGGCGTAGCTCAGTGGACTGAGTGCGGGCTGCGAACCAAAGCATCGCAGGTTCGATTCCCAGTCAGGGCACATGCCTGGGTTGCAGGCCACAGCCCCCAGCAACCGCACATTGATGTTTCTCTCTCTCTCCCTCCCTTCCCTCTCTAAAAATAAATAAATAAAACTAAAAAAATAAAAAAATACAATAAAAATAAACCAAATATGATTTTCCAGAGAACTATAGGGGACATTTTCCAAGAGCTGTGGAAACGGCAGCTTTTACAGTATTTCTCCGCTTAGAAAATCACGTGGTCTGCCAACAATGTCCCTTGTATCAGGAGTCAGAACAGGGTCACGGAATACAAAATGCGCCCTGAATTTTGGCTTTGCTAATTGACTTGTTCTCGGCCTAGTTTGTTGTGTCACCCGATGTGTGTGTGCGTTTTACTCTTCGGGACACAGAGGCCGAAGCGCAGGGCCGCGTACCTGTGTCTGTCTGGGGCCGATGTCCATCCTCTCCAGGAGGTTGTTCAGGAACGCGGTCACGCTGGCCCAGGGGTAGATGCTGTTGGAGCCGTCCAGCACGATGACGATGTCCAGCTGCGTGCTGCACTCTGCGGGACAGGGGGCCCACCGTGCGCCCTGAGCTGGAGGCTGCCTTCTGAGAGCTACGGGCAGTGCTTTCTGGGCTGAAGGGAGCCTGCTCTGACCCAGTGACCGATGCTTTGCAAAGCGGACACATTGCTCTCACCCTCAGAAAAAGCAGTGTCAGAGCAAAAGTGACACTCACGGCATTCGGCAGCCGTGGGCCTGCCGAGCGTAACCCGTCTCTGCCCCATTGTAATGGACGCTGCGAGAGTTAGCTTTGGAAATGTTCTCACTATGAATTTTATGTAACAGTTCCCATTCTACGTGCGTTTCAAATGAGGTTACGATCCACCACGAGTCTCACCCACCCTTTGAACATAAACAATGTGACAGCTTTAGCTACGATGTTTAAACAGGACTCCCTAGAGGTTGTTGACACGAATACCAATTCCAGAAATAGTGGCCAGGTTTGGTGATCTATGAGCACAGCAAACATTTACCTAAATTGGTAACGCTGGCAGCGGAGAAAACAGCGCAAGCCTTTTGGTACGCTCGCTTCGGACGGGAAAGAGCACTGAACGACACCCATACCTTGTACAGGGGCGATGGAATTCACGACTTGAAAGGCGGGGCTGACGTCGGAGCAGATGCCCGTGGTGTAGTGCAGGTGTCCACACCTATAGGCGTAGAGGGGCCCACAGGCCTTTAACAATGGAAAAAAAAAAGGGAGAACCATAAGGTTACAAAGTACGCAGCGGACTCGACGGAGACCGGCAACCACGGCCTTCCCGGTTCACCAGCTGCCGCGACGCTCTGCGTTCTTACCAGGAACCCTCCCTTGGGGTTGGTGACCAGCGTGGACCCAAACGTCATGTTCTCCTTTACTTCTGTGACATTGGGGATCGACGTATTGACTGGAAATAGAAGGAAACCACATGAGGGCGGGGCACAGAGGGGCATCGTCTTCTCACGACGACGCGCGCTTTGCCTCGCTCCGGTCGCAGCGCGTGCTTCTTCTCCTCGTCCAACCGCGGGGTCCCTGGTGGGACCCAGGGCTCTGAGGACCCGCCGAGGCCGGGACACGGCAGCGGCGGCCCCAGGCCCCCTTCGTCCGGGTCGTGGTCCCAAACGGTTCTGCCGAACCGTGCAAGAACGCAGAACCGCCGGGGCACCGCCGAGAAGGTGGGGTTGCCTTTCACACGTTTTTGCGAGTGAAAACGAATACAACTTTCAGCCTCACGCCAGTGTGGATACGATGTGAGCTTACACACTCCTCTCACACACTATCTCCACGTGTTCTAAGGGACCAGCCCCGGTGAGACAGGACTTCTGGCGGGGAGAAGGGAAGCGGAAAGAAGGAGCAGAAACGAAAACTCAAACATGTTTTTTCGACCACGGATTTCAACACCGTGGAGACATGGCGAGGGTCACAGAGAAACCCGGAGCGAGACTGGAGCAGCGGCCAGGAAGTCTGGGCTGGAAAACAAAGACACGGAGAAGGCGCTACTTTTTGACATTCCGAATGGGCATGTCGGATCCTGACGCACGCCAACTGGCGAGACACGGGCAAGAAGCTTATTTATTCACATTTTTAAAAAAAGGATTGGACAGGAAACACAAAAGTGTCTAAACGCCGCTTAGCGGAGTGTGGACATACTTCAAAGCAGCAAAGCTCAAGTTCAGGAAAGGTCTGTCTCCCTGCTCATGCCTGAAAGTGTTTCCTGCCTGACGACGGTCTATACTTAGACTGAATGGGAGGCCTGGGGGCGGAGATGCCTGGGTGTCACCCTGAGGCCTGAGCCTCAAGGCCGCTTGGTCTGGGTCCCGGACGGCGGTCTGACAGCTGTGAGCGCATCTGGGGCGGCGCCACCACCTGCAGCCGTCTCAGACGACGTGGGTTCGGGTTGTCTGACGACGGCAGGAACGTTCCTGCTGGTCTGCACGTGGCGAACACCTCCAGCCACTCTGACAACTCTGTTTCGGGTTCCAGAGATGGCGGAGCCGCCCCTGTCAGAACAGCCGTTTAACAAATAAGCCCCATGGACAGCAGGAAAAGGAGCCGAGGTGCGTGAGACGATCCTCCGTAGGCAGCGGGAAGCAGCCCAGAGCAGAAGCGGGAGGGGAGCCCGTGCCTGGGCGGAGGGGTGAGCCGTGGGTGCGTTTCCTGTTCTGTGTCTCTTTGTTCTCCCGAAGGGAAGGCCCGAGTCCGAGGCTGAGCCTCAGAGAGAACGCTTTCAGCCTTGAAAGAAGAGAGGACAGAAACGGGGGGCAGTGACAGCCACGGAGAAAGGTGGGGGCGTGTTCCTGGGAACGCAGAGCCGTGACAGGAGATCCTGTCTCTCTGTCTCTGTCTCTGTCTCTCTCTCTCTCTCTCTCACACACACACACACACACACACACTCCCGTCGGCGTTTGGGGAGGACCTGAACTGCAGGTGCACAGGGTACCGACAGCCAGCCTCCCGCTGCAGTTTGGAAACCGAGCTCAGCCAAGGAGACTTGACGGAGAAAACACCCCGTGAAGACCGTCCAAAGGCATGCAACTCCCAGAGCTCCACACCTGCCACTCAGGAGCAAAATGCAGGACACGGAGCCAGGTCACTCCACGGGAGGAGACTCAGGACAACGTGCCCTGACCCCGAGAGGGAGGTCAGGGAGGGAAAGCGAGGCTGCGACGTCGTGGACGTCGGGACCATCAGGGACGGACGTTAAAGCCGCGGCTGTAACTGGGCTCGTGAATGTGCAGGGGAAGTTGCTCACAATAAGCGCACGAACGAGATGTTTTTTAAGAGGGAGAACTAAGAACACAGTGTTTGAAATAAGCCTGCAGGGGACGAGTCGTTTCCCGAGGCACTGGAGCTCGTCCGGAGCACGGACCGGGTTCCAGCTCCCGGAGAGTCCCGGCGGGGAGTTCCCGGTCACGTCTCGCCGCAGCGACGCTTCTGTCCAAAGCCTCTGTTTCAACATAGACCTACTGTGTGCTCTTCTCTTTGAGTGTTTTGATTTATCGTATTTTGCTGTGTATAATGCACACTTTACTGCCCGAATTTCTGAGGGAAAAACAAGGAAGTTCACTACACATGGGCATAATGATCATATGCCGTTGGAGTAATAATGGGTATAATCATCCCACGTGTAATGCGCATAGAACTGTGGGCACGCACTATACATGGCAAAATATAGGCCATCTATGACCATTTCCTTATGCAACTTTCTTTAAAAAACAAACACTAAGCTAACTTTCGTGGGGGGATGGGATGGGGAGGTTTATTTGGAGAAGTTGTTTCTTGTCAGCAAGTTGGTTTGCTGGGGACGCTGAGCACTGGTGGGGGGTGTTAAACGCGACAAAACTAGTAAGACCTAAATCTATGGATATTTTATAAGGAATTTCTACAGCAAATGCAGGGCAGAGGGAATCCAGATGTCACTTTATGTAAAGGTGAATGACAAGAACTGAAGAGTGGTTACGGGTCACTTGGATCATCTTCTTTTTTTTTTTTAAGATCTTATTTATTTATTTTAGAGAGGGAAGGGAGGGAGATAGAGAGAGAGAAAGAAACATCAATGTGCGGTTGCTGGGGGCCGTGGCCTAAACCCAGGCATGTGCCCTGACTGGGAATCGAACCTGCGATGCTTTGGTTCGCAGCCCACGCTCAATCCACTGAGCTACGCCAGCCAGGGCTTTGGTTCATCTTCTTGAATTGGTTGAAATCGGTTCTCAGTGAGGGGAGCCCTGGGAACGACTCAGACCCGGGCTGTAACATCGTGACTCTCCCTACCTGGCAGGTGCAACTTCACGCAAGGTGACGACTCTCCTCTGCCCACCGGACACTTGTAGACGTCCCCGGTCCTGTTCCTGGGCTGGCCGGCCAGCGGGGAGCCGATGAGGACCCTGCGGAGAGACAGCCCGGTGAGCACTCCCGAGCAGCACGGGCGCCCGTGTCCGCTGCGCGGCGACCGCTCTGGGGTGACTGGCGCCGGTTCCCACAGACATAGGCAGACAGTCGTCCCCTGTCCCCACTGGGACATTCCTGCACGAGCAGCGACTCCTCCAAAGTGCAGATTGATTTGAATTAAAATAACAACAACAACATAAAATATAAAGGAGAGAGAGAGCTCAGAACACTTCATTTTATATTACTTTGTTGTGTTTTTTAACTTGGGGGCTGAAATGATAATTATTGGCTGAGCCTGCAGCTATGCTAATTTATAGAACACACATCAGTGAGTTTTTCTCATAGGAACTGATAACTTAATACGGAAGTTAGGAGCTATAGACATCTGGTCATCATAAGATTTAATATCAGTACACGCTCATTCGTGAGTACTCAGAAAACAAGGACAGTGATGAGACCCAGGTTAAAATCATTCGCGTCTTTTTAGGCAGAATAAAAAAATCACTCTGACAATAATTAACGGAAACATAGAACCATGATTTGTGGTAGTGTTAGCGAGTCATCCGACGGGGTTTCCTGTGATGCCAGCAATAAGGCGGACGAATGTGGCTGGTTGTTGAGGTACTTGGGTGGCCTCTTGGCTGCTGATTCATTACTGGTGGAACAGTTACATCCTCGGGCACAGGCTGCTGGGGACCAGAATTCCATGGACGCAGGCCCCTGGGGACCGAGTTCCACAGACACAGGCTGCTGGGGACTGCAGTTCCATGGACACAGGCTGCTGGGGACCGAGTTCCACAGACACAGGCTGCTGGCCACCAAGTGCCATGGACGCAGGCTGCTAGTAGCCAAAGGACCCCCGTTCCGTGTCGCAGCCTGCCCCGGGGGTGGGGATGGTCTCAGCCTGCATCTTCACTGCTGTCTTGGGGGCAGACACAGCAAGCGGGAAGGCACGCAGCCAGGAAATCCATCATGCCCACTGGGGCATGCGGAAGTGTCTCAACATTCTGGTGAAAGAATCCTAAACAAACTAGTTCGAGTTTATGCCAAAACCTAAGTAAACAACCCCCCTTCACTGCCTACGGTTACGGACAGCACAGGATGTGGAAACCTGACTTACCGCGAGTCCGGGGGGCGCGTGACAGGGGATTTTGTTGGCAGAAAGCACCCATGAGGCAACGGGGCGTTTAGTGCCCAAATGCTAACGTGACCACGGGCTCATTGCAGAAAGAGGTGTCCTGGTCCAGGGGCGTGAGGGCCCCTGGGTGCTCTGCCCGGTCAGGCCGGGTCTGGGTCTCCCAATTAGGGGGGCAGAGGTGCAACGGAATGCATTGAGACTATGACTCAAATGGTTAAGCGTCTGGCGGTGTCGTCAGACGAGAGATGCTTGGGGGGATGGTGGGGGTGTTTGGCCCAGAGAAAAGCATGTCTTAAGGAGAGTTGAGAAATTATATAGGGGTGTGGGTGGATAAGGCATGCATGTTTAAATATTCAAATATTCCAAAGTCTGTCGTATTGAAAAGGGATGGGATTTCCTTTGTGCAGGAGGCTAGCATTCATGGAGATAAGTTTTGTAACAACTGTAAACACTGACTTGTTCAACAGGCTCCCCGAGACACAGTTATAATGCAAGGCCTTTGCAAAGCCATTTCTGATGTGAATAAATAGCCATGAACATATTCGAGCCCTTTAATACATAATTCTTACTTCTGGGAAAATGACCTAAATTAAGGGGAAAAGCTTAATGCCTGAAGATAATGATCCAAGTGTTATACGCATAGTAATGAAGGATTAAAAGAAGGATAATCAACAGCAAGGACTAATTAATGACCTCGGGGTCACCCTTTAGGATACTGTGCAGCCACAACAAATGACAGGCGATGAGGGCAAGGTAGGGTTCAAAATTATTTTTGACCTAGTGTGAAGTAAAACCTACCTCCCTTCATGATAACCTAAAGACTGAATTTAAAGGGAAATGCATCGAGTCACACTGGACACGCTCATCACGACGGCAGTGACGATCACAGCTGGCACGTGACGGCTGGACACCGTGTTCTGGACCCCGTTCTGGTTTAATCACCTCCAGGCCGTATATGCTCTGAGGCCAGACTTCATGAGTTCGGACTGCGGCTTCGCCATTGACTTAGCTGCGTGGTTTAGGACACAGCAATACCCCCCAGGGCCTCAGTTTCTCCATCCGTGAAGTGGGAATGGTAAGAGCAGCTACCTCACAGGACCACCATGAAAATAAAATGTCAGTGTGGGCAAAGGGCCTAAAAAAAGTGTTTGGCTCATCCAATGTGCTGTTTATGCCTTTGTTCTCCTTCTTCTTATTTCCATCTTTTTTTTTTTTCGGAGGATGGAACAGCTACATCGATGTAAAACACAGATTAAAACGGAACACACTAAAAACATAAATGGTATTGAGAAGGTTAAGGCTAGGTTTTTTTTGCCCCAATGTTTTCAAAGCTTTTTATAATGTGATTGATGCCATTACTTTGAGAGTCCAAACACTGTAGAGGAAAGATCTGAGCCTACTGTTACGGAAGGTTTTAAGTCAAGGCCCGGCAGACCGATGCCTGTGTATTGAGAACATTCTACAGGCGCGGCGTTTTTGGCAGGCCCTGGGGGTGTCAAACGGATAAAACACGGTTTTTCGGGTGTTTAAACTCAGAGGGGAAGCAGGCCTGCAGTAGGAACGCACCGTTACAATACTGAATGAGCCTGAACTTCAAGAAAGTCTCAGCGGCAGGAAGGAACACTGCTCTTTTGTGAGCTCAAGCAGCTCCCGGACCGTAGCGTAGACGCTGCGTCTGGAGAGGTGAACAGGGTCCTGGGCATGAATACCCCTGTGGTCGCCTTTAAGAACGCGAGGTTTGTTTCACCGAGGCGCAGGCTGGCGACCACTGAGGCTTTCCAAGAGGGATACCACACGAGCGACGCTGGTCTCTGAAACTTCTCTGCTCACGATACCGTGGCGGCATCAGGGAAAGGGGCCAAGGAGACTCACAGAGCGAAGGGAAGAGGTCCTAACATCATCCATGAGAAAGGAGGGCCTAATTAAGTAAGGAGAGGAAGGGGTAGCCGATTCTAGAAATACTTGGGGTATAAGCCGTCACAGCTGGGGTTCCTCCCAAAGAGGACCCCCACAAGGACGTCGGCAGGGGTAGCTTTCTGGCAGGTGAGTCTGAGAACGGGCAAGCGCGGAGACGGGGACGGCAGTGAGGAGGAGGAGGGAGAAAGGCCAAGGAAGCATGCAGACCCCCGCTGCAGGGGTCCAGGCTCTGTCTCGCTGGGGAGGATCCGAGAGACCTCACGGGACAGGGTGAGCGCGTCTGAAGCCCTAAGAATCGACGCTGCCCCCTCAGGAGAGCAGAGTCGGAGAAGAGCCGGAGGCTGACGTCCCGGGGAAATGAACTCAATGGTTTGATGAGCAAATCCGGGAAGCCGGGAGGAGTGGCGGAGGGGAGGGAGGATCCAGACACGAGGGCGTCTCAGAGGCCAGAGAAGGAAAGGGCAGTGGGAACCCCCTGGAGGCAGGAGCGCCGCACCCACCTCCCCGCCGGTCGCGCGGTGGCTGACCGTGGGGGCGATGGGCCGTGTCAGTTCGGCGTGAGCTGCTTTCCAGGAGGCGGACCGTGGAGCGGAGTTCAAGTCAAGGTGGCAGTGACACAGACAGAGCTAAAGGACGGTGAGGGGTGCCAGGAACAGGAGAGAGGCTGGTGTCTGGGGGTGGGGGGGGAGGGGAGCCCCTGAGCAGGTAGAAGGGGCGGATCCGGCGCGACCAGTCTGCCTTAGAAACGGGGAGAGACTGCAGGCCCCCGAGGCCTGGAGCCCCGAGGCTCCGGCCGGCCCGGTGGGCAGAGCTCGTAGGTGCGGCAGGCAGTTTGGAGTGTGTGCCCCTTTGTGATGTCGCGTCGTCTCATCCGTTGTTGACACAGACTCTATCTGCCCTCCTGTCGAAACTGTGATTTGTTCATAGACAGGACGCAGCAGAAACAGTGCCGGGGCTTCTGAGGCCGGACCTTGCAGGCACTGGGAATTGTGCACCCCCACTTTTGGAACTCTGTGAGCAGGACGCACTGAGGAGACCCGGGGCAGCCTGCTGAGGAGCAGGAGCCCCGGGGGGCGGCAGGCGTGGGGCACAGCCTCCAGACACGGGGGTCCAGCCGCCTCGGCCTCCCCACCCCGGCCCCGGCCCCAGCCCCAGAGGCGTGCAGCTGTGTGCATGGGAACTCCGTGTCCTCGGCACGCGTCTTGAAAAATAATCAATCCTGTGGTTTCAAGCCGCCACGTGTTGGGGTCCCCTGTTACGCAGCAACAGCTAACTGGAGTACAAAGGGAGGATGAAGCTTTACTCTCGTGGTTTCCTTCCTGCCCCGCCCCCTTCTGAAGGACACACTGGCTGCGGTCATCGGGTGAGGAGTAGCGGGAGAGGTGGTCGGCGGCGGGCTTGTGGGGGGCCACGAAGATTCACACTGACGAGGCGCACACGGCTGGCCAGGCGGCCCCCGTGCCGAGATGGAGATGCGGCAGGCCACTGCCGGCTGGGATGTTTTCGAAGGTGTCCCCACAGCGGATGGGAGACAGGCCTGCAAAGACCCTTCGATGTTTAAGATGCCTCCATCCAGAGAGAACGGATTATAAGTGTGCCCAGAAGACCTGACTGGTGGGAAAGCACGTACTGTTATCAACGGGGGGGGTCGTTTCAGGGAACCGCTTTCCCGAACGGCACATCCAGGGGCGAGTGCCTGCAGGCTGGAAGGCAGGCGGGCGGGAGGCCTGGACCGCTCAGGCGGAAGTTGGGGGCTCGGGGGGTGAAGGCTGAGCTGGGCGCGTGGCCGGAACGGGGGTCGGTCTCCCCATACACCGGGCAGGTTGAGATTGTCCCGGTGGTGGGCTTTGACGGACGGGAATAGTCTGGAGTTTACAGTCGACTCCCAGGGCACCAGGTCGCCCTCGCGCACGGCGATCACCGGAAACAGCCTGCGGTGGCCACGGGGACCAGGCCTGCTGTGCGCTCTGTCTGGGTAAGCGGCAGCAGCGGCAGCAGCGGGGGCGCGGGCAGCAGCGGGGGCGCGGGGCTCAGGAAGCAGCAGAGGGCAGCCGGTCGGGGGCAGACAGGGAGCTCGGGGGGGTTGGGGGGGTGCGGACAGTGAAGAAGGGGCGAACAGGACCTAGAACATGACACCATCTGGTGCATTTTCCTGGGGGCTGTTCTCACACCGAGCCCGCAGCTCTGGACGGCACATGCCTCTCGCCACGGATCCTCAGTGGGCCTCGCTCTCCCGAGCTGCACGAAACAACGCGGTCCTGAGGAATTACCAGTGCGGCGTTCTCGGAATTTCAAGAAATCCCCAGCGTTCCCAGTCCCTTCTACCTTGCTCTTCCTTCGCTCACAGAACTCACCACATCCCAACATGAGATATAACGTGCCTGCTCACTAAGTTCACCATTTATCTCTGCCCCCTCTTCCCCAACAGAACATAAGCTCTGAGATAGCAGGAGCTTTCACGTTCGGTTCACTCCTACTCATAGATCCTCGGTGCGCCTAACAGCAGCACCAGACACAGAACAGGCATTCGGTAAACATCTATTAAAGGGAGTCATGGCTGTCAAACATTCTAAGAATCTAAGTAAGACAGAGCTGGGAATTTTGGACTGGTGCGACCAGCTAAGAGCCTCCGACCGGGTCGTCTTCATTTCTGTGGTAGGGGCTTTGCATTTTGGGTCAGCAGGGTGCCGTACGAGCCTCTGCGTGACGCAGAGTGCATTTCACACAGGTCAAGGTTCCGGAGGGGCCGTGGCGTTCGGGGACACAACCGGCTGCAAGTCGGAAGGCTGGGCTTCACCTCCCGGTCCTGGGGCACGCTGTGTGATGCCTCCGGCCGTCCCTTCCTAGTTTCCTGTTTGGAAAGCGAAGGTGGTCCGAGTGACAGCTACCCGGACACACGGGCCATGGGGAGGCCCACGGCATGCCGCTGCGTGGACTGTGGATGCTGTCACTTCGAAATGTGACGCCAGCCTGCCTTAACGCATCCCGGGTTCTTTCCCGGAGAGTTTTGCTTTCCATTTGCAGTGATCGTACTGACTTGTCGGCAGATTAGGAAGACTCAAGAATGCTCTGGATCTCATTACTGATCTCCAGAGAATCGCCCGACGACCTCCAAGCCCATTGAGGCGAGGGACACGTCGTCACAGAAGGTCCCCTTATAATGACATTTCGTGAGCGGATTGTTTTTTGCACGTCACAACGGCCACGGGGACCACTGGTCTGTCTGTCTGCAGAGCAGCTGACCTCTGACGACTCTGTCTCATGTTCACGCTTTTTTTCCCAGGAAAAAACAGCCTCCTGGAGACCGTTGTCCCGTGTGCACGTTCCTCACGAGCACTCCTCTCGCCTCCCCCTCTGCTGACATCCCAGCCCAGTCACCGTCGGGGAACCAAGCACCCCTGCCGGCCTGGTTTTAAAAAGCAAGCGGCCCGAGTGTTTGGTCCTCGTAGGGGACGCAGCGCGCTAGTGGTCTCATGGGCCGCCGCGCTCTCGGCTGTGACAGGCCTGAGTGTGGGGACGAGGGGAGCCGAGGCAATGACAAGTCTGGCACAGGGAAAGGTTCAACTTCAAAAGACATGGCAAGCAATGTAAAGTACATCGTATGCTAAAATAGGTCAGAGAAAATGGGACGGAACCTTTAAAAGGGCTTTGGACTGCCAGCCGGAGTGGGCTTTATGGAAACCACATGTACGCGTGGGAAACAGGCCACCGATCCGCGGAGCCCCCCCGGTCACCCTGACCCGGCGTTCGGCCGGGTCCCCTAGGGAAAAGGCACATGGCCAGCAGGCTCTGGTACGGGCGCTGGCTTGAGGACGGGCTACGGAGGGGTCTGCCCACTGGAAACCTGCTGTGGGAACCCAGGCCCCCTGCAGGCACGGACACCCCCGGGAAGGGTTGCGGGGGGACCAGTGGGAAGGGTGAGCCCACACGCGCTGGCGGGAGGGAGCAGATGGGATGGGCGTGGGACGCCCACGCCGCCGCGGGGGCTCTCCCACGTGGCCCAGACCTAGCCGCGCCGCTGACCGCCGAGTCCGGAAGCCTGTGCGGCTCTCAGCACATCTCGGTTCTTCTCTCTGAAGCCACACCGTTGAACCTCCTGGGCTCCCCATGGCTCTTCTCCGAACCGCGGTGCGTTCCCTGGTTGCCTCGGCCAGCCGGTGCGCACCGAGACGAGCCCCAGCTGGTCTGAACCAGAGACACGGTGCGTTCAGTGCGGAGAAAACGCGGTTTAGAGCTGAAGATACACAGGAAGTTACACTTCGCCGTAAACTTCTGAAAGGGGAAGGGGGCATCGGGCTGCCTCTTCTGTTATTTCTCAGTTGTTTTGAAACAATTAAAGCGAGGCTTTTCCAGTGCACAAGGTGCACTCGTAGTGGGCCAGCAAGTACTTCTCCCCCAGTCGAGTTTGGCCAAGAGGCACGATGGGTCAGGATGATTTTTTCAATAATCTGAGGATGATGCGCTTCCAAACACGAGCTGTGAATATGACCTACGGAGGTGCCTACCTCCGAGGACGAGTAACGGAATCTGTGTTCTCCCAAATAGGTCGATTACTCTAGGGTCCATTTCTTAAAAGAGGTCGGCACCCTATCTGATTCTATCAGCGCTCACAGAGCATCCAAACCCGTCTCTAAAATGCATTTGGCAGGACCAGCACTTGGGTCTCTGGAACAATACGCCGCTACCTTGCTGCCCCCTAAGGGGTGGACATTCAGGTTCGTATGATCTGCTCACTTTTAAATTCACATCACAGCCCTGGCTGGCGTAGCCCAGTGGATTGATCACGGGCTGCGAACCAAAGTGTCGTAGGTTCGATTCCCAGTCAGGGCACATGCCTGGGTTGCAGGCCATGGCCCCCAGCAACTGCACATTCATGTTTCTCTCTCTCTCTCTCCCTCCCTTCCCTCTCTAAAAATAAATAAATAAAATCTTTAAAAAAATCACATCACTTTGGTGGCCCTGATTTTTCACACCCCTTTCCATAAAATCACTGTACACATGGATTGCCAGCACGGAGTTACAGCATCTGACAGACACGTACATTCGAGCGCTCGCTCACCAAGTCTCACACGCGTGTTCATGAGGAAGATGGAACACTGCAAACATAGTCATCATCAACACTTAGTGAGAAAGTAACACAGTTCCAATAAAGGAAGAGCACTACACTGGGTGTGGAGACACTTGAGTTCTATTTCGAGCTCTGGCCCTAAGTGGTTACATTTCCCTAGGGGAGTAACTTCAAACAAAAACATTTTATTAACATAAGGATGACATAGACTAAGCTGTACATATTTCATGTGTGCAACTCGATGAGTTTAGGGACAAGTACACTCTGCGGAACCATTACCCCAACCTGTGCCATGACCATACCCATCACCCCAACGGCTTCCTCCTGCCCTGTTTAGCTATTACTATTATTATTATTATTATTACTATTATGTGATAAGAGCGCAACACCAGAGAACAGGTCTGTGGTTACCAGAGGGGCAGGAAGCTTGGGGGAGGGGGGACGGCAAAAGGAGTGAAGGGCGTCACGTGCCCGGTGGTGGGCGGTAACTAGACTTTTGGAGGTGGTCCCTTTGTAGTGTATGCAGATGTCAAATTACAACGTATACCTGAAAGTCATATAATTTTAACAGGTCGTAGAAATCACACCTGCCGTGAACGTACCCAACCCTACAGTGTTTAAAAGCACGGAAATGACATTCAGTCAGGTTTGTTAGTAGCAGTAGACCAGACTGAGCCGCCCGGCGAAGCACCAGAATAGAAGCCCAACACTGTGACGTTGCCGCGGCGACGTGAACCCTTTCAGAGAGAGCCCCTGGTCTGCCTCCCAACCCTTTCTGCTGAATGTCCGCTATGAAAGCGAGAAGGGTTCAAGAACTCCTACTTGATAACGTAGTTTCGGAACGACGCGGCAACTCTTTGGGATAAGGACCTTCCCCGAGGTCAACCTGGGCTTCACACGCGTCACGAACCACGTCCTTTAAGATTGCCAAGAAAGTAGCCCTGGCTGGCGTAGCTCAGTGGATTGAGTGCGGGCTGCGAACCAAAGTGTCGCAGGTTCGATTCCCAGTCAGGGCACATGCCTGGGTTGCAGGCCATAACCCCCAGCAACCGCACATTGATGTTTCTCTCTCTCTCTCTCTCTTTCTTCCTCCCTTCCCTCTCTAAAAATAAATAAATAAAATCTTAAAAAAAAGATTGCCAAGAAAGTCTTTTTGTCTTCCTTTGTCAGTTTCCATCACCAAGTGATCGAACTGCAACTCCTACTGTAAGTGATTCATTCTGTTGGATTCTCATTCATAAAGCGAACTGTAGCCAAATAATGGCTTTCATTACTGTGAAGGGAAACTACACAACAACAACAACAACCACAACAACAAAACACACGCTGGCTTACCATTTCCCTTCTTCGTTTTCATACTGCTGAACGGTGTACCCGAACAGGTCCTCCACGGGGCCGCTGAAGGTCATGGAGTTCTTCACGTCGACATTGAATGACATGCAGACGCCGAGAACAACTGCAAGAGAGAGAAGACAGAGTCCAGTGACACCGAGTTCACTAAGCGTCCACTGTGGCTCAAGTTACGGACGGCGTTCTCGGGGTTCCCGGGAAAGCACCGGCGCGCAAAGATCGACCCAGACCACAGCCAGGGTCTAGGGGAGCCACCACACGCGGACCGGGAATCAGTGCAGGGGCTTTGAAGAGCGCGAGCACTGACTCTCAGACACACCCCACAGACATGCGGCGTCTGCGGCGTCCCCGGAGCTTCAGGGGCGCGTGTGGGAGGTGTGGGAAGGCACGCTCGCAAAGGCAGCTCCGGAGAATCTCGCAGCAGAGCGAGCCCCACAGCCTGTGTGGCCGCCAGGGACGGGCACACCGCTTCCTCCTCCGGGCTGGTGACAGAGGGTCAGCATGGAGACCGTGGGGGGCGCGGGGGGCAGGCAGCTCTCTCCTCGCTGCTTCCCGAGGGAAGGTGAGAGGCTGTCTCCACCCAGAGAGGGCTCCCCGTGCAGGCCTGAGACGTGCTGTGTTCCCCGTCAAGGCTCGGGTGGACCGGTGGGAGCTCCCCCTAATACACCAAAGCCCCCTGCACAGTGCTGGTGGTGGGGCCTCCTCCCGGCCGCTGCCGAGATGAGTGAGAGGCTGCAGCTACAGCTCACTCCACACCAGGCACAGGCTCGACTCAGTGGGGATCGAGTCCCTTCAGTTCCCTTGCAGGTCAGGTGACGAAGCCCTTCACGAGGGTTAGGGTCCGTCCCCAAAGGGTTCTGGACGGTGCGAACCCCCCGTCGGGCCCTGGTTTCTACAGTGTCCGTGTGGGATTCCAAAGCATTGCCCTCCTGGGTGCAGCTCGGATCCCTTCGCTAAGAGCAGTGTCTTATGAAGCTGCAGAGCAGCAGAAGGCATGCTCAGAGGTGGTTAAAGCCACTCTCCTTTGTTAAAACCAGCGTACGGCTCCACGCACCCTGGAAACTTCTTCCCTTATCCACTGTACGCTCTTTCATAAATAAAGTCTGAACCCAGACGCAGACTCATTCTGTGTTCTACTTCAGCATCTTCACATTTTGGTAACTATATGAAGTGTTTCTTTGGTGCATAGAATCATACATAACTTAGGGAAAATTTTGTTCTTAAAAACCAAAAATATTTTTATGAAAAAGCAGATACTTATCTATACCCATTTTTACAAAGTTTTCTTTGATCTCCTCAAATGAAAATAGTCTTTTAACTACTAAAACCTCTTCTTCTATGTAAGAAGTCTCTCACAGAGATAATTACCAAACACTATTTACAGTGTATCGTACTTAGCGGTGTGAGACTTTTTTCCTAGATTAGAAAATTCTTTCGTAATTTCTTTATTTTTTAAATTCATTTTCAATGACAGTTGACACACATTATTGTATTAGTTTCATACATTATTGTATTGTATTAGGTGTGTAACACAGAGACTAGGCATTTATATAATTTATAAAATCATCACCCCAGTAAATCTAGTACCCACCTGACACCATACGTGGTTATTACAATATTATTTTGTCTGCATTCCCCGTGCTAGCATTAACATCCCGTGACCATTTTTATAACCGACAACTTGTACTTTCTAATCTCGTACAATTTTCTCACGCAGCCCCCGGCCCCCTCCCATCTGGTGACCACCAGTTCGCTCTCTGTCTCTCTGTCTGGAAACTTCTTTAAAGCAGGGGTCTGCTTCCTCATCTTTCTTATTGCCTCTCAAAACAGCGCAGCTGCTTGGGCACAGCTGAGCAACAACACACTTCCAGGGTGGGGGAGAGAACACGCCGAAGGAGGAAAGGGGGCCGGTGGCAGTGAGAGATGAACTGGTAACAATTTCCTCTTCGTGAAGGAAGATTTTACGGAGATGGAAATGTTAAGTGAGATCTTTAAGTGGGGGGGAGAGATGCGACTTGGCAGTGAGAACAACATATGTCCCAAGGACCTGTGGGGGGGGGGTCGTCTCTGCGAGGAACGAGACACAGAGCAGGACAAATATGGCAGCGAGATCGCCGAGAGACCCGCCCGGCTGGCGTGGAAGACACGGAGCAGGCGTGGGTGGCTGGGCCGCCCGGGCCCATTTATGTACATTTCCTGCTCACTTCTCAAGGGTGACGGCGCGCAGCTGGCGACCGTCTTCTGCCTGATTGCCTTTCGTGCAGTCGGCGGCCGTCCTAAACACTGCTCGCTCTCCGCTCCAAACTAAATAGTCCATGCCCCTACCCTTCCCTCACGGCTTTACTGCTATTTTTGAACACGTTCAACAGATTGTTTTTTTTTTAAGATTTTATTTATTTATTTTCAGAGAGGGAAGGGAAGGAGATAAACAGAGAGAGAGAGAAACATCAATGTGTGGTTGCTGGGGGTCATGGCCTGCAACCCAGGCACGTGCCCTGACTGGGAATCGAACCCGCGACACTAACAGATTGTTGTTGATATGAGGGACACACGGAATAGTACTTCTCCAGCAGGATTACTCCACTTGGGCGCTCGTGACATTTTGGGTCAGAAAACTGTTTGCTACGAGGGGCTGTCCGGGGCCTCGCAGGCGATGAGCAGCACCCCTGGCCCCGCCCACAGATGCCCCCGAGTCCTGAAGGTCAGATGCGCTCCAGACAGTGCCTAATGCCCCTGAGCCCCAGATCACCCGAGTGGAGGACCCCCATCCTACGTATAAGGACCAGAACCCGCCACCCAAGGTTTTGTCAGAAGGTGACTGGAAACCACAGGGGCCGCACCGACATCACCCCGGAACTCCCAGGGGTCCAGCATCTCAGGCCCACCCAGAGTCCCTGAAACAGCGTGTACACCCAACGGCGCCCCGCCCCAGAAGTCTGGTTCCCGTTCTGGGCTGAGAGGCGGGGATCTGTAACACAACGCCCCAGTTCCATGATGATGACGCAGGTCACAGAATTTCCCTAAATGAAACGCACTCAGCATCCTGTAGACGGAAGAGGAGAGGGATTATGTGTCACCAAGGTCAGCGGCAGCCCTCTGGGGGGATCTTCCAGCTCTTCGGTATCTCCAGCACACCCTCTCCCAAAGGCACGTTCCCGGTGCCCGGTCGCTGTAGGACCGGGAGCCTTCGGTCGGTTTCCTTTCTGGGCTGCCGTGTTTGTTCCTCACGCCGTGTGGAATGTCCGGGGGCGTGCGCGCTGCCCTCTTTTCATTTCCTGCCCTCGGACCGCTCCAGGCGACTTGCCCACGGGGATTGTAAATCAGCCTCTTTCATCTTTGCCGAGGCACCCAGGAGCCGCAAGCCCAGGAGACGACAGAAAAAATAGTTTACATTTTGTTCTTTTGATTTAAAGGAGCGCGCATAAACAGTCAAAGCAGCTTCTGGTAGCTTTGGCTCACTGTTCTTTCTGGTACACTGCGTTGTCTCGGACCTTGACGTCCAGAGGTACAGCGAGATCAGACTTGTTCTCGTTCGAAGTCAAACAGAAACAAACCAGACAACACGGACGTGGCCTCAGGCCCACGCGAGGCGAGAAGGATGGGAAATAAAACAGAGGCAATCGTCGTAGGTCAAAAATGAAGTCTTGTTTCACGTGTACTAGCAAAACAAGATGTTTTTCCTTCAAAACAACCGTGTTGTGTGCCTACTCTGTTCCTCTTCACACGCCCCTCCTTGTACAGTTTCCCAACAACCTACCATGAAATCTCGTTATTGTCACCACGGCGCAGACCAGGAGGAGGCTTGGGGGGGGCGGGGAAATGTACCCACATCCCCCCAGGTTTCCCGAGTCACTCCTGTGAATTCAGTTTCTACACTTAGCCGTCAACTGGGAAGGGCGAGTTGAAGGTGACATGAGGAAGGATTAATTAATTGATTGATTTTTAGAGAGCGGGGAGGGAGGGAGAAAGAGAGTGAGAGAAATATCATTGTAAGAGAGAATCATGGATCAGCTGTTTCTCTCACACACGCCCCTCTCCCCCACCCCCACTGGGGACCAGGCACGCCAGCCAGGCATGTGCCCTGACGGGGAGTCGAACTGGCAGCCGCTTGGCCTAGTGGGACGACACCCACCCCACTGAGCCACCCCACTCAGAGCTGACGTGACAAAGGACCCAGGAGAGGGCTACCGCCGGCCCATGTCATTCTGTCTCCTGAGAGGCGGACTTAGGAGGGAGCCTCTGCTACAGTGGCCGTGGCTGGAGGATGCTGGAGTGACGGGGGCGGTGCTGGAGGATGCTGGAGGATGCTGGAGTGACGGGGGCGGTGCTGGAGGATGCTGGAGGATGCTGGAGGGTGCTGGAGTGACAGGGGGCGGTGCTGGAGGATGCTGGAGTGATGTGCTGGGAGGATGCTGGAGGGTGCTGGAGGATGCTGGAGGGTGCTGGAGTGACAGGGGCGGTGCTGGAGGATGCTGGAGGGTGCTGGAGTGACAGGGGCGGTGCTGGAGGATGCTGGAGTGATGGGGGCGGTGCTGGAGGATGCTGGAGGGTGCTGGAGGATGCTGGAGGGTGCTGGAGTGACAGGGGCGGTGCTGGAGGATGCTGGAGGATGCTGGAGGGTGCTGGAGTGACAGGGGCGGTGCTGGAGGATGCTGGAGTGATGGGGGCGGTGCTGGAGGATGCTGGAGGGTGCTGGAGGATGCTGGAGGGTGCTGGAGTGACGGGGGCGGTGCTGGAGGATGCTGGAGGATGCTGGAGTAAACAGACAAGTCCCAGCTACAGAGCTCTAGGTGAGGCTGCTCAGGGGAACCTCAGCCCAGAGACATGTTTGGGTAGAAGGAAATAAAAAGGCATGCTCTTTTTCAAATATGGTTGTATGTGTATGTTATCTGTCTTACGGCTAAAAACTGGGGAGGAAGAGGAGGCAGTTGGCATCCCTTGGGAAAGAGATCACGCGGTGCAAATCCTTCACCCCAGGGCGGAATCTGATGTGTCAGACATCTAAATGAGAGAGAGGGAGAGGGAGAGGGAGAAACAACCTAGGGTCGCGCAGTGTTCTCTGCCTACAGACATTTTCATGTGAATGACGGCGCTGGGCCGGTCGGA